AAGCACATAAATTGTAGATTTGGTAATAACTGATGTCATCACTGATTCATTGCAGGGGTATCAATATACGTTATATCAGTAAAGTTGCTGATCTTTCAGCTAAGCTACCAACCTTGAGTTATTTACATGTAAGTATATCACTTCAGTTTATTTGCCCACCAAATAATTTGGTTCGAATAATTAAAAGATGGTGGGGTTTTTCTCTAAATTCAAGATTCATTTTGAACCAACCTTAAAAAATGATAATGCAGATTTATTTTGATAATCTTTATTATTTACATCATTATCTATGAAAGCAGACTCATTTTGAACAAGACCTTTTTGTGGAAGATGCCAACGTGTGAACAGTTAACACTTGCGTTTCTCAAGATTATGGTGAAATTTCGTTGTGGCCTAATTTTGAACGCCTACGAATCATCTAATTTCAAACCTATTTATGTACACAAAGAAATATTTTGCTGTCGTTTTTCAATTTATAAGAAAACCTTCTTCAAGCACAATTTACATAGCTATTTACAATCTTTCTTCAGATGCAAATTCATGTAGACATCAGGAGTCAATTTCTCTTGTTATTTCTATTTTCAGAAACTTTGTGTTTGTGAAATAATCAGTCGATCAGCGAAACATATTTTCACATCATATCTACAAGGTGTGAGTCAAGTTAGTTTATCAGCTGCCATCAGTCATTTTCTAAACTGTTATCTTAGTTCATTTCCATCACCACAACCACAGAAACCTGAAGACAGGGTAAGTTATGTTAATAATACTACTAATACTAATAATGTTGTACTATATACTTTATATATATGAATAAGCTAAATGACAAATGCCTTTAGGCTGAGAAAAAAAATATCTGTTTCTCATTTTTTCCTTCTAAAGCATTTCAAATTTTCTTCCATATGTGCTTTATTGAATCAACTGCAGTATTTTGACATGCCGAATTTTGGCAAAATTCCAAATCTTTGCGAGTCAGAAACTGTCCTTACCCCAACACCTCTATTCAGCACCTTCTCTATAGACTTGTCGTTTATGACCCATATAAACTGATCAAAATGCTCTGTTGGTGGTTAGTTTCATTGTATACTTTTGTGTTCAGCATTTAAGTGTCACTGGTCACTACAAAGTACGATTTGATGACAGTATCACCTAAAATGGTTTTGTGATTATTTTACAGCATTTTTACAACCACAGTAAAAAGAAGAAGAATAAGAAGAAGTCCAGATACATATCAGCCTTGTTCCAAGGTATCTTGTAGTTGAATAAATTGTACAGACAGACAGACAGAAAGACAGACACAGACATTACAACATGAAATGCAGGATGCATATTCGTCTTCACGGCAATCATCTCGCCACTGCTGGTAGATGCACTACTCACTGCACCATATATAACACAGTGTGTCCATCTGAAATCATTTCTTGGTCAACTTGGTACAAAAAGAGATGTACTGTTTTCTGTTTTTCTTTTGTTTGTTTTGTTTTTTGAGCTGATCCAAATTTGCCAACTGGTTTTTGTCAAAAAATCTTAGTGATAACCATTAAACACATTGAGACAGATTTTTTAAAAAACATAGTACTGTGAAAGTAGCCTCTTTGTAGTCCCTTATATTAGATACATATAACTTTAAACATTTTCACTCAACATGGCAGACATTTGCATTAAACAAAATCAGTGGTAATCTTTGAAAATAATTGAGACAATCCTTGATGGTTTTACTCTATTTGTTGTATTAATAGACAGTATGGCCTGGACGACTCTAACCCCAGCAGAAATGTGGACCAATATCAAAGCAGAGGCTAAGGAGTACTATATGTATGAAATGCAATGGTAAGTTGGGATTCAAGCCCTCTAACTTGGCTGTGTTTCATTAGTAATAAAAACAAACTTAGAAAATGTGCAATACTCTATAGTTGCGCTATGTTCTTCATTGGTGCTTATAGCCCAGGTTCAGAGAATTCATTAAATTCAAAATAAACAGTTGTATTCCGTTTTCAGTGATTTTATGCATCTATTTTTAGTGTTTGAAGATTCCACAGAAAGACTTTCCAATGTTACCCCCCAACCCTTTGCCCTGATTCTAACCAAATCTGTTGTATACCCCCCCCCCATTTGAGGGTACATATTGGGTTAAAGTTAGATCAAAAGGTGGGGGATTCACTAGAAAGTCTTTCTGTTGCACTGGTTATGCCTAACATTCTGTCATTCCTGTTTATGTAATTTTCACTCCACAGCGAAAGCGTAGATGCCGTGGTTGAGAAGTATCACATACAGAAGATATCGCTGCTACGCGAGATTTGTCTCAAAGTTGGTATACAAATTATGCTGCGAGAATACAACTTTGATAATAAACACAAACCCACGTTTACAGAGGAAGACATTCTTAACATGTTTCCTGTTGTTAAACACGTTAATCCTATTGCCAGTGATGCTTACAGTTACTTTCAAACAGGCCAGGCTAAAGTACAACAAGGTAAGAGCATTTAGACACCTGAAAAACATTTCTATCTTGATATCTGCATAGATATTACCGTTCAAATTCATAAGTTGGTGATTATTCACTATAAGAAGACTTATCAAACAATGTATCCTTTTTCAATGATAGATATGAATGGAGTGAGAGGTCATTGAAAAATAAGACGAAAAAATGTAATAGAATATTATAAGCTTGTAATTTTTTGTCTGATCTCTCACTCTAATCATAACTATGATTACCTACTACCTTTTTCTGTATATTGCATATATTACAGCTTTCATTGATTTTGAATTCAGAATGATTGTTTTCCTCATAACTGGGTGATAGCTAGCTGTGAACTTGTATTCACACTGCTCATCAGACATCAGCACTGATGAATCATGGGAAGTAAAATACTCTCCATTGATTGGCTGGTTTAGTTGATACTGAAGAGGGTCTTGATGACACTTACATTGAAGTCATTTTCAACTGACTAAATACTTTTTTTGTGTGGAGAGACTAGATGATTATGTACAACAAATATTTAGTATTGCATCATTTTGTTGTGCCAAATAGATGGATATTAATATTTTATAATTGTTTTTTATGTTTCCAGGTTACATAAAGGAAGGGTATGAATTAATTAATGAAGCACTTAATTTATTCAGTAATGTATATGGTCCTATGCATCCTGAGTTTGCAGCATGTTTGAGATCGCTAGCAAGATTGCACTATATTATGGGAGAACTGAATGAGGTATGAATACAAATATTTCATACTACTGATTATATTTAGGGATTTTATTTCTCCATATCCAGACCATTGTCTATATTTAGGCATTTATGTTGTCATATTTAGACCATTGTCCATATTTGGGCATTTTATATCACCATATATAGACCATTATCCATATTTGGGCTTTTATGTCGCCATATTTAGACCATTGTCCATATTTGGGCATTTGAGATTTCTATAGCTAGACATTTAATGACATAATTATTAGATTTTATGTCCTTATTTGAGCTTTGTAGGGTACAACATTTCATTAAATTACCGTACCCCTATTTGGACATTGTTGGCATGATATGACAATAACATTAGAAAAGAACCTGCATGCACATATGTGTGACATTGTGTCTGTAATTGTAGGCCATGGAAATGCAACAGAAGGCAGTTATCATGAGTGAAAGATGCCTGGGAGTGGACCATCCAAATACTATTACAGAATATGTAAGTATTACTTTATTTACTAAAAATATATAGAAATATTTCAAGTGATAAGTAGTCTTAGAATAGTCGAACCCAAGCAATACCCCGAAAAAATAGTTCTCTCAGACTCATTGGTAGCTAGATTGAGACATGTATAGATGTATATGTGTGAATTATTACTGAAACATGAATTAATAAACAGCTTGGCTCAACGTTACTTTTTATATTTTTGCAATAAAGAAAAATGTAAAAATGACTGTCTATACAAGATCAAAATAATGATCTTTAAATACAATGTTTGGAGTTTTATGTGAATTTTCAATACACCAAATAATATTCCTTGTATCATTTATTATCCATATAAAACTAATCAGAACTTAATTGCAGATGCATCTTGCCTTGTATTGTGCTGCAGGACAACAGATTGTGACATCATTAAAACTAATGTACAGAGCGAGATACCTTGCGTTATTACTTCACGGTGAAAGTCATCCCGAAGTTGCCCTTATTGATGTAAGTACAAAATAATTAACTTGATGTATAATTTAAATTGTGCATATACAAACGGTTGTACCCTCAAATCCCGGGAATAAATTTCAGTTAAATATTACGTCACGTTGTTCACTATTAAAATTGTCCCGAGTCACTAGATTACTATATAAGCAGGGTAAGTGTATGATATTGTTGAATCTGGGGCCGCAACAAGAGTTTCAAGACGAGCAAGATTTTGTATTATTTTTATGAAATATGTATATTTTTAAACCTATTCTAGTATTGTTTTGTAAAAGTCTAAAAAAAACAAAAAAAAACAAATTGTGTCTGTGATACAAGAACAAAAAAATGGATGATAAAAAATCTACAAGCACAAAACAACAAATTAGAAATATGAGCTTACTTCAATACTACTAAGATCAGTGAGAGGAATATATATGGAATTGAAAATATATTTGGTACGGTTTCACAGTTGAGTTTACAACATTCTATGCACTGACAAATACAAATGAATAGATACTATATCATTACCCCTCATGCGCCCTCTACCGACAAGTTAAAATTATATAGTTAGATGAAAATATTCAAATTTATGCATGTTATTATTTCCTTTTCTTAGAGCAATATTGGTTTGGTGCTACAAGGTGTTGAAGAATACGACTTATCATTAAAATTCTTACAGAAAGCATTAGAAAACAACATCAAATTCCATGGCCATATGAGTATGAAGACGGCACTGAGGTATTTACTGGTTTTTAAAGACACAACATTGGTGCAGTGATCACTGTTGTTTAGTATTGTTAACGTAGAAGGGGGTTTGTGTAGTCTAAAATCCACATTTACCACATTGACACAACAGCATTTTAATAGAGCCCAACAGCTTGAGTGGTGAAATGCGCTCAACTTGAGTCGAGTTTTGCTACACTAAACCCTAAAGGTTGAACACCAGTATGACCATTCAAAGGAGAACTCTATTTCTAGGACACTATTCCTGTTTGGCTCTAAACAAAACGGTTCAAAATCAGGACTATGTTTAACCACTGGCATATCATTTGGACAAGAGGTGATCACTGTTAATTTATGGGAGTAGCAATCAATCGACTCGGATAAAATGCAGTCATGTAAACCTAGCAAAAGATGTTACCTTTGTTTACATGGGTCAACAATCATAAGATTCCTAGTGAAAGCTGAGTTGTATTTCAGTAGGAGTGTTCACTTAATTTCTTTTTTGTCACAATTCAACATTTCCCAAATGTTCATAAACAGGATTATGTACATTTCACATTGCTTCAGCACCTGCAAATAATTGGGGAAATCAGGGATGAAACTACGTCATCCTTACTAGATGCTAATCTGCAATGTACATCATATAAAGTATTTGTTTAATTCTACTGTGTAATATAGGCCTCATTTAAATTAGTTCCCGGACTTTCGACCTCCAATTAAGGTCAAGGTCAACAAAATTGAAAACTAGAAATGTAATAATTACACAACTATATGCAGTAGTTTGTCATAATATTTTTTTGTTTTCCTAACAACTATAGTTACCATTTGGTGGCAAGAGTGCAGTCATGTAAAGGCGATTTCAGAGCAGCATTACAAAGTGAAAAGGAAACCTACAATATATACAAACAACATGTAAGTTACTAATTTGTTATGCGCATTTTAGCATCTTGTGTTCAGGCTAGCATGTTGGCTCAAGCCTTTAACATTTTCACCACTAGTTCCCTCATTTCATCACCAATTCACAAAATAGTCCTGTTTATAGTCTGCACATTTCTTCAGAAGATTAGGACAAAAATAGTCAAATTTTGTGAGTAAAAAACGGAAATCAACTAAATTTTGTCTTCGCTCCAAAATTTGGGTTTAATTCCAGGAATATTGAAGAATATTGGAAAAAAGTGCAGAAACAATTTGGGCAAGAAAGTAGTGGTAAAAAGAAGAAATGAAAAATTGAATTTTTGTAACAAAAATTGTAACTTTAAAATGTGCAACTTTAACATGCACTGCATAATATATACTTTTAATTTCCTTGAAACAATTCATGGTTTAAATTCATAGCCATTGGTGGCAAAAGTGACATAATTTGTTGTTGCCCAATCAAATATTATTTTTCAATTGGTGAAGGAGTTCATAGAAACCACAGATATTGGCTACTGATGAAAGGTTAGTGGAAAACCAGCCATTAAATAAATTTGCTTTGATACCTACAGCTCGGTGAAGAGCATGAAAAGACGAAGCAGAGTCTGGAGTGCTTGAGACACCTCACTCAACAAGCTGTTAATCTTCAAAAAGCTGTAAGTACTCACATTTTTATTTTCCTTTCTGTAACTTCACATTGACATACAATGCTCAAATGGGAGGTTATGTTGCACTTATGTCTGTCTTTCTGTCTGTCTATACAGATGGATTTGAATAAAACTTGGTCTATCACCAACTCCGGGCCTGATTAGTTTTGATTCCAATCCTATATAATTTGCATTATACAAGTTTTAGCACATGGCAAGTGCCTAAATCAAATAAAACATGTAGTATATGCATTTTGTTTAGAAGTTTGTCTGGTCTGATAATAGTTTGATATAATTGTGCATTTGAATTAACTCTTTCCCCCTCATTACAAGATTCAGTATTATGCATGAAATTGTATGTAAAAGCAAGACACAAAAAAAGTGCCATAGTGGTGTTAAAACCCTGCACGATTTGACAAACTCAAAGTTTTTGGGTACATTTCCCGCATCTAGTAATGGACAATTTTTGTTTTGCCATATCTCCCTCTAAAGACCCGCAGTGTGACATTGAGCTATAATAAACCTTGTAGCATGGTAGTTTTGAATTAATCTGTACAAACAGTGCGATAATAATAATGAATCAAGGTTGAGGCTTAAATTGCTTGTTTTTGATTGTTCGTTGAATATTGAATTCATTTTGTGCCGGAGCATTTTCTAGATTCTGTATTTGTTCCCCATAGATGAATGAACTTTATAAGACTGGTGCAAAGGCAGCCGTACAACAGTTCAATATCTCACCACCTCCAATGAATACAGTTATTGAAATGATGAACATTATCAACGGGATTCTCATAATCTCTCTGAGGTGAGTATACAAATGCTGTGTACTGAAAGTCCCATCCAAACAAACATTTTGAGCTATTTTGGTCCTCTTTTATTCGGCAAACCGCGACTTAGATTTAACTTTCTATGCATTTTCATTGAATTCCCCTCATCATACGTCAACTTGGGACAGACATTATAGCATAAGATGTGTGTATCATTTTCTTCCTGAATTGGATTCAAAATGACAGTGTGGAATGATACACTGCTAAGAAAGACAACATATTACATTACATGCTTCTAATAGTGAAAATATACTGTTCTTTTGCAGCCAAAAAGATATTGAGAAAATTGCTGAAGAAATGGAGAGAGACATGTCTGCCGAGCCGGGTACAATAAAGATAGCGGAAGCTGAGAGCAGTTCTCAAGTTGAGGAAGTTACAAAGTCATCTGAAAATTCCAAAGCACAAGTTGGTGGAATCCCTGTGGACACACCAATTGAAGTGGTTGCAAACTGAAACGTCAATTTGTGAAACATGGTGGTCACATGATAGCAGTATGCTGCACACTGGTGCATCAAAATGATTTCATCATTTCAATGTTTGTTTGTTTGTTTGCTGTGTGCTATAGAAGCTTGTTTCTCCAGTGAGAATGTTTTATTTACAGTAAATTAGAGATTTAAAGATTTGACAAATGCGTCTTATTTGTTCCTCAGTGTTTCCTTTCATGTTCCTCAGGTCATTAAAGTTTGAATGAGATCAAGATATTTCCTGGCCAGAAACAGTACTATATCTTCTATATTTACCCACAATGCATTGTTCAAAATGGCCTCTACACTACAGTTTTCCCTTTAAAATATTTAGATTTGTAACATAAAATTTTAATTTCTACAATTCTCATTTTGTTCAAATTCAAGTGTAATAATTCAAAACAATCTGTTTGCTTAATTTCTTATAAGCAATAATACAGTTTATAAATTCACTTATTCATGAATTGTCGTTTGATATCGACCGGTAGATAGCTGCTTCTTGGGTGTATTTGAGGTGGTGTAATAGATACTGTAAATATTTTATACATTTCTGGATAGGTGAGGTGTTTTCAGTAGCTAACTTGATAGGTTCTAATTCCAGTTGTGAGTGTTTGGATGAAATGCATTTAACTTGACTGGTTAAATGTTTTTGTGAAAAGTTTGATAATTTTTTTTTTTTTTTTGCTCGTGAGAAACATACCATTGGCCAAAATTCAAGGTGGCCAGTATTGTCGATGACTTAAAACTCCATCATTTATACATAACTCTGAAAACACATTATGATTTAAGCTCAATAATTTTGTAATATTTATATGAAATTTTTTCAATTTTCTGTATGGGAAAAGTCCCATAAAATTAATATGATTTTCATTTAAGAAAGTAGTTATGATTTTGAAATGATTAATCTGCTGTTAATATTCATATACAGTCTAGGTTATTATTAAGGTTAGAATGTTTTTGTGCACGTTTCATTTTGTGGATCAAAGTCTTATTTGAGTAAAAATAAAACCCAGCCAAGTTGAACACACAAAATACGCTTTTCGGTTACCCAAATCTTGAAATTAAAATAAAAACGATGACACTTTACAAATGAAAACTATGGTGTCCCATGATTTCAAACCCATTGTCCCTTTAAAAGTTATTCTGTTCAATGTGATAGATTTTTGCAAGTGTTCTGACATCCTCTGATTGAAGAAATCACTGAAATAAAACATCCGCCATTGGTGCTATTTATTCTATAGTGATAGAAACCATTGCAATTTGACTACCAGTGTTCCAGGCATTTCTAACTGTTGCCACTAGGTGGCGCTGTTCATACTGCAATGTATGAGTGCTGTACACGATTCTTTTCGATCTAGAATGCCTGATGTAATTACAGAGTTAATGAATCATTTGTTAATCGTGTTTTATAATCTTAATTTTACTAGAGTGGATTAATGATAATCCAATGTTCTGTTCTTGTATCTGTCTAAGCTGTTTGACAGATCTTTCATTAATGGCGGGTTGCTGGTGTCTTGTATGTTTACTTTTATGCAGCAATGGAATCAAAATATCTTGACTTTTAGAATTCATGTTTGAGATGACTGGAGCCAGACTGAGCAGTGTTGGCCATAATGAAAGGAAACATAGTTAGCAAAAAAGAAGATAATTTGAAGTTTTACATAGTGAAGTCATACTCGCCAACCACCCCCGCCTCCCTTCACAACATCCCCTGTGAATACCTCAGTGATGTAAAGAATAGAACTGGAGATAGGGGTACTGGACCCCCTAGGTGATTGG